GTGAGGCAATTGGAGTACCCCTTCAGTGGGTCTATCTAAAAGACTCCCAAATTGCATAACTCTTATCTCTAAGGGGAGAAGAAAGTCCTTGGATCGTGAATAGGAGCTGTGAAGGAGAAGTAAAGGCAAGAGTAATTAGCATTACAAGTTCTGTACAGGGAACTAGGAAAAAGTCAGAACAGGGCAGTTTGCAAATGTTCATATGAGAGTCCATTGGAGTTTCTTGACAAGGGCTTCCAAAAGCATCCCTCTATTGGGCTCTTCCTCATTTTTCTTTTGTCTTCCAAGGCTGGACTAGCTGGCTGGGAAGAGTGGCTGGGTATTCAGGTGACGGTCTAGTGACCCTGCTTGGTACCCCTTTAATGAATGAGCACAACCGGTTGTCAACAAGCCCAATTGTGACTATGTTTAGTGATCAGGCTCATCTGAAGTCATGATGATGGTAGTTATTTCATGCAGAAGGGACTGCTGTATAGCATCATCTTATTAAAAGGACCACCACGTGGAGGCAGGATCTGGGAGCTATCAGGCTGTCCCCTGGGTTCTCAAGCCCTCTGGTAGTTGGAGGCCAGAACCTCTCACTCTCTGGCGGTCTGCTGAGCTCATCTTCATGATTTGAAATTTTCACTAATGATAAAAATAGGTAAGATCCCTCTAACTGAGATACCGTCATAAATTTCCAGTTTATCTTTCAGACTGGCCCTATGTTTTAAAATTTACTTGAGCATGCCCTTAACCTCATATAGAACACTTTGGGGGCAGACACTGAAATGCTGTATTTATCAGTGAAACACACAGCCACTTCCCTAACAATTGCGGGCATCTAGGTTGCTGCTATAGACCCTGTGCTCACCCACCAGAGAGTATTCAGGGCCAGCTCATGGGTGAGCAGGCAGCTGCCATCATGAGCAGAGTAAATGTTTGGCACTGCTGAATCTGAGTGAGAACTACACAGACTCTTCGTAGGAACTAGGGTATCATCTCCCAGGAAGGAAGCATAGTTGTCCCACTGTGTGTTCTTCATTTATGACCCCCCCCCAAATTAAATCACTATGATTCAAACTGTCAACTTACAACAGAGCTACGTATTTGATTTATTCAGTTATTTCCAGCAGGATGCTGAAAAAGTTCGTGCTTCTTCAAACCAAATGTACTGGTATTTAGATTTAGGCAATTACTTATTTTAAAACTACATGAAGCAAAAGTTGTTTTTACCCTTAATGGTTTGAGAATCTTTGAACACTTTGCAGTATGTGGAGATATTCAGGGGAAAGGAAGCTAATGTAGTGTGTCCCAGGGACTTAGCCGGCCATACTTGGCAGGTGGGGTTCGGGGTGAACTGAGAGACTTGGTAGTGGCTCTGTTGGCTCCAGTAACCTCACCACTTACATGACCACTGTCTGATTTAAATGAAGCATGGCAAGGACAACCCTCAGAAGCTTTCCTGTTGTTGATGGTCTTTTAGGGTTGGCTGTCCAAACATAGGATAATTGCATTGAGATGTTAAATAAATTAACGAAACAAACCATTATTTTGTCAAACCACATTGTTACTATTGGTCAGATTTGAGTATGTCAGTTGTGGTCTCCTTGTTCTGTTTTGTCTACAAGGAAATAGCTTCCCCGAATCAAGGATAACAAGAATGCATACGACTACATGTAAATTCTGAATAGCATAGCAGAATAATTATGTAAATTGAATATGCAGTGATGAAGGTAATAGGGGGTTTGGGTTATGTTAGTGCTGGGGTTGAATTGCCATAGCAGTTTGCTTTTAAGTACTGGAATACAACAGTGGCAATTTTGTTTTGCAAAATGTTATGTGATACCAGTTATTTCCATCCTTGAATAAGTTAACTTGATGAATTTGTTTATACAGAAAATAATTTTCCTACAGAGGGCTGAAACAGAGGAAATAAACAGAAGTGAGATGAAAAATTTAGACTAGAGCTACTGACATCTCTCCTGCAGCCCTGTGTGCCGTATCATTGCTGTGGTTCTAGGAACATACATGAACAGACATGCTTTGAGTGGGTGGTGAAAAAGGGACCCGCTGGTGGTCTGGCTGTCTGCTGCATTATGTCACTGGCACAGAGGGAGCTTAGTGTGTATCATTCTTATACCCTTGGTGATGAGGGGTGCCAAGAGGGTAGCTATGGTGCGGAGCTGGCTCTCCTGTGCCTTACAAAGTGGCCTCCTCCCTCCCTGGTTCTGTGAGGAGGTGGAAGCTTGAATTTGTGGCCCTTTCCTTTCAACAACCAAAATATTATTACACCTGTCTATCCTAGACTGGAGAACCTAAAGAATCTTCCCAGAAGCTGTGACATAGGATGGTAGTGAAACAGGAAAAAAAAAAAAAATTGGTCAGCACATCAGAAAAAGACACTTTAAATCTTAACAGTGAGAAAAAGTGGGCCACTTCCGGGCTATGTTCCTCTTTTCTAGTAGAACCATATCCTTTTTTCTCTTTTCCTTTTTACTTGAAATATATTTTTTTATAACTGTTTTTGGTGTTCTCCCCAGGTGTCCTTATAGCTTTCAAATATGGCCTGTTAATACTGAAAATAAAGCCAGGGCCTCTGTGGGCAGGAGAGGATGCACTTTGCATGTGTGAGGATTTGTGGAGCTTGAGTGTGAGGATTTGCATTCTTCTTTGCAGTGTGGTTTCTGTTGAGCATGCATGGGCTCTGTGATGTGAGAGAGAGTTTGGAGGAAGTGCTTCCTTTGAATGACTCTTGAAGGATTTAGTGGTCCATTTAGCTACATAAAGATTCTTTGAATGTACAGAAAGAGGGGAACTTGGCCAAAGATTGTGACTTGACTGCTGAAGTCT